GTGAGCATCGTACATGGAATTTGGCACTTGGGCCAGTATTTATCTGGGATAAGATACCTACAAAAGAAATTGGTGGACCCAAGAGCACGAGCACGTTCCCTGCTGGTGGCGCCGTCCGAGGTGCCCTCCCCTTCTCCGCATGAGAGTGAGGGCTTGATTCCTGACCTTGTCAGTACAGGCTGTTTTCGGGATCCTCAGTTTTTGCCAATAGGCAAAACAAGAGCTTGTACTTTTGCCCATTTCTTACAGAGCTGAACATCTTCATGGGTTATTGGCCAAATCTGCGAATTGCCCGTTTTCCTGGGTTAATCTTTCTAACAGGTTGCAGGAGCTCCTTCTACATTCTGAATGCAGACCCTTGGAGGCCAGGTGGGCTTCGGCCCAGCCCAGCCAGGTAGTGGTAGTGCAGGACCCAGGAGAGGTGGGGGTGGGTGACGGATACCCCTCCCCCCTCCCCTGGTCCTGCCCACTTCCCATACTGGCCTTGGCCAATCCTGTCCCCTGGAACAACTTCCTTTTGAGATCCGAAAATCCATCTGACTCATGTCACAGATAGAGACTGGCACTCAGACAGGTGCAGTCACGCAGCCCAAGTCCCACAGCTGGTGAGTAGTGATTAGAACCCAGCCTTGTCTGGCACCAGCTTCCTCCCCCAGGAAGCTGCCCTCCCTCCTCTCTACCTGCAGCACAGACACCAAGCTGTGCTCCCAGTTCTGGGCCACCTGCCAGATCCCCCCCTGATGAGCCTGGCTCTGCTGGGCTTGCTGGGGGCAGCTGGGGCTCAGGTCAGGGAGGATCTCCCTGTGGTCAATGAACGCCTCTCCTCAAGCACTGCCCGCCACCCCTTGTCACTCTAAGCGAATGACCTTGAAAATAGAAGCCATCTGAGTAGACTTCTCTGACTCACCTTTACCTGTGCTCTCATTGGCATTCATGCCCAACCCTCTGCCCCTCAGGAAAAACTGTCCATGCCCGTGGCAGGAGCCTTCCTTCCACTCGTGGCAGCCCAGTCCCTGCTGGCCTCCAGGTCATGGCTCCATAGGTCCTTCCTGCATCAGTGTTTTGGCGCATCAGTGTGCTGCACACATGAGCACACATGCACACATGTGCAAGATGCAGCACACTGCACACGGACATGTGTACACACATGCATGCACAGCATGCCAGGCATTTGCACAGATGCATACGTGCCTGCATGCACACACACACGTGGCTCCAGTTTTTTTTTTTTTTTAATATTTATTTCTTGAGGTTGCACCAGGTCTCAGTTGCAGCATGCGGAATCTAGTTTCCTGACCAGGGATCGAACCTGGGCTCTCTACATTGGGAGCCCGGAGTCTTATCCACTGGACCACCAGGGGTGTCTCTCTGCTCTTTTATTCTTTAACCCACTTACCTCCAGCCCCCCTTTCCTCCCTACACATCTTTCCCAGTCCCTCCCGTAACGCTCCTCTCCACATAGGCTTCTCCTGCAGTCCCATGACCTTCTGTAAAGGGCACCATGACCTCCATGTAGCCAAATCCTCCTGACCCGCTGGTGGCACTTGTCCCAGGTGGCCACTCCCTCCTCCTCCGGACACCTGGGCCCTTTTGACTTCCAAGGACCTCTCCCCACCTGTACATGCTAGATGTTCCAGCCTGGCCTCCCAGCCTTCACTCCATTTTTTTTTTTTTAATGTTTTAATTAATTAATTAATTAATTTGGCTGCGCTGGGTCTTAGCTGTGGCATGTGGGATCTTAGTTCCCTGACCAAGGATCGAACCCGGGCCCCCTGCATTGGGAACGCAGAGTCTTAGCCACTGGACCACCAGGGAAGTCCCCGAGCCTTCACTCCGGGTGTCATGCTTTGAGTGCCTTCTCTCTCCTGTGACCCCCAGCTGTATGTCACCAGCGGGACTTCTCCCTCCACCTCCCGTTACCATGGACACCCCAAGGTGGCTGACAGGCATCTTCAGGGACACCCCACCCCCTGCTCCTCCCCGACCCAGGCGGCATTCTAGGCTGTTCTCTCCCTCTCACACCCACCCCAGTTGGTCAGAGTCCACACAGAATTCGCTGCTTGTCCCAGGCCCTCCATGCCGCTCGCCCTGCCACCCCTTCCCAGGCCAGTCGGCTACTGGGGCTTCCCCCCTCTTCTCCTGGGGTTTGCTCCCCGTGGCGAGAGGGAGCCTGAGAAAACCCGAGGCAGCCCCTGCTCGGACCCCTGGCTCCCCCGAAGTCCTCCCAATGACCTCGGGGTCCGTCCGTGTTTGCAGCCTTGCCCACTACCCCTCTGACCTGGCCGCACACAGACCCCGCCAGCCTGGGGGGGGGGCTCGGGACAAGCTCTCCCAGGAGAGAGGGGACCATGACAGGGTCAAAGGTCAAAGCCATACTTAGAAGGCTGTGCTGGTGAGCCAGGCCTGAGCCGGGCAGTCCTCTCACCCCCAGGCCCCCTTAGTCTCTCTGGGAATTGAGCCCTCTGCCCCTCCTCTGCCCACTCCCCACCCCCACCCCCGTTGGCAGCCTCAGAGGGCACAGGACACTGCTTCCTTAGGGGGAGCACTTCCCCCCATCGCCGCCCCAGACTCTGCCACAGCCCCATGGAGGCGCGGGCAGGGTGTTCACAGCAGCACTGGGGGACCACACACGTGCTGGGCACAGGGGACAGCTTTCACCAGCAGAAGACTCAACAGAGATGACATGTGACCCAGAGCGGCGCGTACCCCAGAGGGTGAGTCTAAAAGTGACCGTGGGAGAAAAAGGCAAGCTGCTGAGAGGGCGCGCTGACAGCGTGATGGAGAGGGTTACAGTGTCAGCTGCCACCGTGGGAAAGCGCCGGCGCTGGGACTGGGCGGCAGGACAGGCACGCAGGCCTTCAGATTTCCCCACATGTTAGTTCTTAAACTGGCTCATGGGCTCCCAGGCATTTCAAAGTTATATTATCGCTTTGTATGCCTGAAATAATCCACTAACTTCCAAACCTCCAGGTCCTTGGACAAACCCAAGCTCCTTGTCTAGCCATTCAAGGCCCTATGCTTCCCGGCCCCTCCCAACTGACCTCTGGAGCCTCCCTCTGCCACTTCCAGACCTTTGCTGCAGCTGTGTCCGGGCCAGGAATG